ATAATAAGACTTATAAAGCACACATATCCAATGCAGTAGTGCTCAAGGTACTGTAATTATATTATGTAATTCAAAGGATACGCTTTGTTCAGCCCGTGGCAGTCTGCGGCTCTCAAGTATGCATCTTTAGCCTCATCAAGACGTTTAGCAACTTTGAAACATAAAGCTGTAAGGAAGAGATATAAACTAATTTTTGAATATTTATTAATTTTTATTTATTAAACTAGTACAGGACATGCCCAGGGTTACCAATTTGGGAGAAAGCCATATCAGGGAGACGCACTGGTTTTTAATGAGAATTCTTAACATTGTATTTTACCGCATGTGGTGATACCCTTGCTGGAGGCAATAATTAAAAAAATGAAAAAAAAATATGCAATGTTTTTTAATTTCTGGGAGATGGGTTAATTTTCAGGAAATTTTTGCTTGCTGCACTGGAGTTCGAAGACAGTGCTGATTTCCAGGAGGATTCTCTGGGACTTAGGACTGTACAGTATTAAGGACTGCACATAATCAGGTGTAGAAATCCATCCCTGCATTTAGTGAAATATGGCCCAATTTGCATGCAGATCTTTCTGCAAATTAGGCCTTGACATATCTCTCAATAAATCAATGTATTATGGAGTAGTTATGAAGCTGTACACCTATTTTCCTAAGCTATTTTCCAGGCAAATTTGAGACTAATGCATGGCTATTTGTAGGTACCAAGTTATACAACATTAAAAACAGTCATTTAGGAAAATTTGGGGAAGCCTCTGTGAATGTTTTCGTTTCTTTTTCTGTGTCACATCTGTTGCCTATTATGTCCCATGCTGTAAAGTTTTTAATTTGTGCGGATGATTCAGTACCTCAAATTCTGAAAATGTGTTGACCAATTTCTAGGCCATATTTCTAACTAAGTGGAGGATATATTCCTCGAGTAGGCCTTACTATACAGTTTAGACCGTATCATGCACGCTAATTTTGTTATTCCTCGATGTCAAGTCCGAACTGAGGGACGTTTTCAAATACTCAAAGTGAAGGTAATAATAAAGGTAACATTTGGTCCACTAGGACTACAAATGGATGAAAGGGGGGGCGGGGTTGATGTGAAACCATATTAGCAGCTGGATGGTGTTAATTTTTAAATTAATAAAATAAAAAAGGTTTTTATCCTAGCCTAGGCCCAATTATAATTAGGCCTAGGTCTAGGCCCTAGCAGTGTATACTGTATTATTAATGAAAAATATCAAATTAATTAAGACTACTGACTGTACCTGCTTTTTCAAAACTATGGGCTGCACTGTCTAGATCAGGCTTCCATTTGAAAAATGATGTTTTCATGCTGAAAAAAAAAAATTTACTGATTATTATTATTTAAGCATCTGTAGGCCCTAGGCCTAGGTCTGGTTCTATACTATACCCAGCAAGCCTAGCAGCCTAGCAATGCGTACACCCCTGAGGGTGTCATCATGATTCATTATTGCCTTCGCAGAAGAAAGCGTTGCCTAGCTGCCTCTCTGCAAGTCTCTACTTTAAGCATATAAAGCCCAGACATATAGAAACATAAAACATACTGTTTTTCTGCCTCCTGTAAGAGTTCATTTGCTTCTAGTATTTTCTTATCGGAATTCATCCTGCTTCTTTCAACAACCGTCTCCGTTCTTCAGATTTTCTAAACCACAAAAACATAACATCTAACGGGCTCCCTCTATCGATGAAGTAATGACGTAATTATTTTGCTGCTTGCATGATGACCAGTGAGATGCAACCGCGATTGCGCAATCGGCGTGCGGCGGCGGTCGTCGTTTGTTTTCCTGCTGCAGCGTAAACAAGGAAAAGAAACGTAGGCTTGGCCTCTTGGTGTTGCATGCAGGCTTCACTAATTTCTCTTTGTAGGCCCAGGTAACTGAAGCAGTGTTTTGCTATAATTAGTGTAAGTACTGTATTGGACGAAAGTAAGTTACCAGCGATGTCCAATTAGCAATTCTGAGATTGTATTCTTATGTGGCATGTTAGAAATTATAATTTAACGTCCGGACAAGTGTTGTTATTTGTTGTTGTAGGCTTAGGCTTAAGCCTAGACCTAGGCTAGTTAGAGCCTAACCTAGGGTCTAGGTCTAGACAGGGCCAAATAAAGAATATGCCTAATTAATAGGCCTAGGTTAGCTAGGCTACGGCTATGAATAGGATGTAGGAATAAGGCCAGGTTTTTTTTTTAATACTATGAATCAATAATAATGACCTATCCAAAACTATTCCGGTGAAGAAACCAGATTTCTTTCAAGTATTTATTTGGTACAGTAAATTGAGTTTCTGCAAATTAACCCAATACTGTAATAATTAAGTCTGAAACAATTGATTGATATATCTTTGTATTTGGTATCCTTCTAATTCCTGAAAAATTTGCACATTAATAGCACAGGAAACTACCAATTAGCAGTTTGACAAAATTGATCATGTCTTTGTGTCTATTGAATGTATTTAACCATGGAGGTATATTTTCATACCTCAATGGTGTAACTAACATGCTTACGAAGAAATTTGTTCGTATTTACTCCGTACATTGGGGTCCTAAGTGTCCTTCAGGTCGCGGGAGAAATTGGGACAGCCTCCCGCACTCCACAACCGGACAAGAATCTCCCAGAAAATATCCTGTCTCAAGCATATTCATTAAATCTGCATGTTTTCACTAACTGTATTATGCACTTGTCAATTGTAGTTCAGACTACCCCAAAACCTCAGCTACTCTACTTTAGCATGTAAAATTCCCGGCCCTTTGAAGGCCGGTTACATCTACGGGTAAATTTTAAGTATGTCCCTGCACTACGAGGACACAACTATGTGTATGTCCCCGGCTCAGTGTCCCGCCTAGTGCCCCGCTATGGTCTGGGTACCGGGAGGGGGTGTTGTGGGACTCCAGTTGACAAGTGCATTACCTCTATATAATCATTTGTCTCACAGACATCCGTGTCGACTTTTTCTATACCTTGTTGAGTGAACCCATCGCCCACCAATAATGATGATTTCGAATAAAAATAAAATTTTATTTTTTGCCAATTATTATACCCGCCGCCACAAAAAAAATGGAGTTTACAGAAAAAAATAAAAGTTTTTCTTTTTTTTTATACGCCCACCACTGCCTTGAAATCTCCAAAATAAGATATGTATATTTCTTTCTAATCACACTGTATAAATTTAAAGCATTAAATCATCCCATTGCTATACTGTTTACATTCACCAATAAAAGTTTATTTTTATTTTCTCCTCTGTCTGGATGTTTTTGGCAAAACTATTTGCTAAACAATTTTTTTTGTTTTTTTCCTGCCCTCTGACGATATATATAAGTTTGCAAAACAAGGTATTAAAAAGGTCTTCCTAAAGCAGCAAAAGAAAATTAAATGTGCTAAGAAAACTGTTTTAAACAGATCTCCCAGAAATATGTTTTATTTTTCTCTTTAATACAGTTGATTGAATTTATGTGATTTATTAACAATGAAAAGTTATGGTTATTGATAATCGTAAATGACTTCTTCCAACTTTGGACCACTGCTCTATAATTATTATTTTCATACTTCCAAGCTTGTCCTTATCCAAAGTAAAAATGTATGAACTTATTATTATATATTTTCAGGATTTTTAATATTAGTCATGGAAAGTGATAACGTAAAAAGTGCAGGTGCTGGTGATAAAAACATTCTAGGAGCAGGCGACAATGAATATGCTGAAAGAAGAAAAAGAAACAATATCGCTGTTCGTAAGAGTCGCGACAAAACAAGGCTTAAAAATAAGGAGACGCAGGAAAGAGTTGAGCAACTTAAGTCTGAAAATGCAAAACTGGAAGAAAAAGTGAAACTGCTATCAAAAGAATTGACTGTTCTCAAAGAGCTGTTCCTTGTACAAGCTAAAGATGTACCCGATCCAAGCACAACGTACGCATTATGCAATGCGCAACACAATGTTGACAAACAACCTTCTCTTGAAGAGCAAGATTTTCAAATGGAGACAGTAGATGAGTCTACTGCCCTCAAGGATCACCAGTACTCAAGGGGGTCATCTTCTTGATTGGCTGAAACATTGAATTTTGCTGAATATTTGTACATATTGTATATATTTCATAAATTATCAACGTTAATAATAAATACTATAGAAAATAGTATTGTGAAGATTTTAGTTACCATTTAAAAAAAAATTGATAACCCTAACGCACATGTAAACAGATTTTCTTAACTGTTTTTCTTTTATAACATAGGCCAACCAAACAGAGAAATAAGTAAAACACCCCATCTAGTGATGGTGCCAATGGGTTTTCTGATAGGTCCTTCAGCCCACCTCTCTTATTCTCACATCAGGGACTTTTATGCTGCCTGTCCTCTTGCCTATTGACAATAGGCTCCGGTGAGCAAGTCATGTTATCACCACTGACCTCCCCCCTTCTTCCCCCAACCTCCAACTTTATACCAAACTTTTAATTTGTTTTGTATTCACTTTTTGAACCACTTTTGAACATTCTAGGCACCTTAATTAGTTATTAAACCATAAGTGTTTGTCAAAACCATTTCTTTAGGACATAAAACATGTTCTAATTTTTCATTGTTGATCCAACTATAAAGTACTATATTACTGTGTACTTTCATAATGCAGTATTTCTGAAGTAGGTCTATAGGCTATGAACAGATGAATAATTCTGTTCTTGAAATGATATGGAATGCAATTTTTTGAGTAGTGCTCCAAAACGCCTGTACATACGTGACCAACTCTGGCAAAACCAGGCGCTTGTTGTCAAATGCGAGTCTTCAAATTGGCTAAAATTCCCATTTGTTGACCATCTGCATGTTGGATTGAAAATATAAATTCTCATATCTTCCCCATTTGTTATCTGTTTATAACAATTTTGCATCAATTACTAGCATTTGACCTTTAGATTACGAAGATCTGATATTGTCATTTTTTTCATTTATTGGAGACGAGCCTGTTTTTTGCTAGAGTAGGTCACATATATATACTTTGATATTTGTATAGGGTCAGCTTTGAAAGGATGCATAGCAGTAACTTAAGGGCACATGAAAAAAATTGCTAGATTATCTCTCCCGCCCGCCCGCGTAAAAAATATGGGAAATACTTTTACAGGAATAAACAATTTTTTATTTTGCCGCATCATTTATCTTAACAACATAAAGACAACCATGCAATTTTGTGACTGGAAATATATTTTCTTTAAAAAAAAACCAATAAAATTAAACCAGTTTTTATACAATATTTACAATATTCTTGCCAAATAAAGACAGTCCCTCCCTCATCGAAAAACAAGCAATATTCTGTTGTTCCAATTAAATTTTTAAAAAAAGTAAATGCCCACCCTCATCAATTAAGAAAAAAAAAGTGATAATCTAATATTTTTTTCTATGTGCCCTAAAGTTAAAACAGTAGTTAATAAAAAGTTTAAAGATAGTGAATTCAATTAAAAATAGCTAATTTATTTTTCGTAAATTGTTTGTAGGAACCAGAATGTCGCATAAATACAATAGAATTCTGTAAAGACTTTCCACAAGTCCCATATTCTTTTCTCTCTTTCTAGACAGCGCCACCAACGAATAAGTTAAATTACAGACGATAAGAAAACGAGTATGGGACGCCAATTGAATTTTGTATGGCACGCAGTAAGCGCAATAAAAAGTGAGTAAACAAAATTTAGTTTACCCAACCCAAATTCTACACAGATAGAACTGTATAAATTGAGGCATACACTGCAAATCGTCGGCAAGCAAGTTTTCTTTTTTTTTCCCGATCTGTGCACTTGACAGTGTGATGCTGTATGCTTAATATTACTGTCACTCTTGAGTGGTGATCATTGAAAAGTGATCCATCGATAGACACAGTGTGTTCCAGGTTTTAGAAAAGCCTTCCAACCAGTATTCTTAAAATGATGTTTGCCTACAATATTAGTTCATTTCGAATGTATCCACCAATCACCTTGCTTCATTTGAGACTGTTCCCCTTTTTAATGTATAATATGACTCCAATATCTAAATACAAACCTCATGTAAAACAAAAGATCAAGAAGAGGTAAAATTTACCGTATATTAAAAAATATATTTTCCCTATTTATAAGAAAATTCTAAATTGGAATGAGCACCTTAAACTAGAATGGCCAAGCTAGTAAACTACACTTAAGACTGACTTGCCATTAGTCCATAAGGCCAATAAAAATGTTTTTTTTCCCAAACAGAGTGACATTTCAATCAGGTCGTTTTTCATGACAGGTGTAGGCCTTAAATAGTGTAGGATATATTCGCAACTATTGTTATAATAATATATTTATGAAAATTATTGTAAATCGAAAATTTACAGGAGCGTTTTGAAATTTTCTTGAAACACCTTTTTATGAGACTGAAGCTTTAATAGTGGACTTTTAAACATCATCAAAGTAGTTTCTTTTTGGTAAGAAAACATATTTTGTAAATATTGCTAACTACAGATTTTCAAAGTGTTGGGTGGTCGGGCTTGTCTACAGGTTGCTTGTATTGTTTATTGTTTGAATGTGTAGCATGAAAATAAATGCAAAAGTAAGCTTAAAAAGTATATTACTTTCTGCAAAACAGACTGTTTATATAAATTGTATGATTTTGATATTTAACATTGTCTTTAAAGAAATGCTGAGGCCTATTTTTGT